AAATTTCTTATAAATATGGAGGGGATTATTTCTAAAATAGTAGCCTAATGTTTGTCCTGCATATTACAATAATGTATGGCCACTTCGCTTAATTTTGTCTTGTTAAATTCTTCTTAAGCACCCATCAGTGCGAATGAACGCTGTAATTGAGGAGAAAGACGATAGGCCTATGCACCACAAAACCAGTCATAAGGGTCATTTTTTGACATAGAGATTTATACATCATCTGAAAGCTGAAGAAACCTTCCATTGATGTATGGTTTGTTAGAATAGGACAATATTTGGCTGAGATATAGCTATTTGAAAATCTGGAATCTGAGGGTGCAAAAAAATCTAAATATTGAGAAAATTACCTTTAAAGTTGTCCAAATTATGCATATCACTAATCAAAAAAAAAGTTTTGATATATTTACAGTAGGAAATTTACAAAATATCTGCATGGAACATGATCTTTACTTAATATCCTAATGATTTTTGGCATACAAGAAAAATTTATCATTTTGACCCATACAATGTATTGTTGGCTATTACTACAAATATACCTGTGCTACTTATGACTGGTTTTGTAGTCCAGGGTCACATATTGTACCGGTAAATTAATGTCAAAGTTTTTCAGTAAAAAATAAATTAAATAAATAAATACTACTATCACAATTTTAAAATTCAAATTTTAGTATTATGAGCCAGAGACATTGTTTTCTAATAAAGTGTGGAGAGCTAAAGACAGGCAGATGTACAGTCATTATACCAGATAAGAATTTGTTGGTTTCTTACACATCCCTCAGTATTCACAGACAGTAGGCTAGTCACAACTTCTAACTGAAAAAACAAACAAACACTTAAATACTTACTCAACTTACAAAATTATTTAAAGGCAGTGCCAGATCTCGCTATAAAAATCAGATCTCTTTGACTGGTTTATTGTGGTTCTCAAAGAAACTAGAAACTATATGAATGTTATTATCTTGATGTGTAGTAACAGAAAAGTTATTAAAAGTATATCTGTCAACTGCATTTATTGATTGATTGATTGAAATGGCAAGGCCAGTTGTCATTTATTTATTTATTTATTTGTTTGTCTTGGTTCTTCTTACTTAAGAAACCGTTTTCATTATACCTGTTTAACCCGTTTAATACCAAATTTTTCCCAGACATGAAAATATCCAAATGATGTGTCATTAGTAACCCTTCGTTTGAAATAATCAATAATTATTTTTTGAAATGTTTTTGGAAAAGTGTGTGAAAAACTGTGTTTTATGGTCGGTCACAATTGTATAATAATGTGTGTACTGAATTAATATATTCCTGCAGTCATAAAAATTGTTATATATCTTAGCCCAGCTATTTTAAACTGTTTGATCACATTTTAGGGTTACTATTATGCATAAAAAAATTGATAGGAATACTGAGATAAAAGACAAAAAAATTCAACCATCAACACATTTCAAAATTGTTACTTTTTTGTTTAATATAACATCAAATTTTTTGTAACATTTGAATTTTTAATTTAGTGCAATATTTTGTCATTGCAACATTTTAGTGTAATTTTCAGCAACTTCATCTTTGCATTAAAAATTACATAACTGAGCGAATGACACTTAATGACAGTTGTCATAAATATGCATAAACAACCTTCATATTCATGACATGTGTCATGTCATGATTATGTAGGTGTCATGTCATGATTGTGAAGGTGTCATGTCAGTCTTATGCACACCCCTTCAAGTAAAGTGTAACCCAACATTTTAGTGTAATTTTCACTAACAACTACAATTGGATTTATATTGTACACCTAAGTTCACTGCTATCCCACTATTGTGACCATCAACATGTTTACTCATTCTATGACCACACTCAACAAAACTGAATATATGTGAATTCATATATTAATACTAGACACCTTAAAGATAATGTGTACCAAAAATCTTTGTCACATCTTTATGTTAACATACTTTACTAGCCTTTTGTTTTGGAGCTTTGATGCAGTTATCATCTTCTCAAGGTGCAAACAGGAAATAAACTGCTCTGGTCATGTGACAATTTGCACTAACCATGTGAAACTGCACATATTTAATTGAGACCCTTTATTTTTTTCCATATTTGCAGGAAGTGCACTAAAACATCACATCAGTCAGTAAGGTTTTTAGAGCTTTATAAATTAAAACATTTTTTACGGTATTAAACCGCCATGTTAGTAAGTCTATTATATCTTCTGTTGAGAGGAAATTAGTCTATGTAATGGACCGAAATCCACCGCTACACACCTGAACGGCACTGATTGCGTCATGACGTATGCGTCAGTGTTACATGACCACACCCTTATCTGAAGCGCTGTTTAACACGGTTCGCATTTCGCAAGGTAGAAAGCAAACAAGTTAGCAAAGGGCTGTTAGTTTTATAACCTCAAGAGTCCGCATTAAGGATTTACAAGTTTAAGTTAGTTTCCCTTTAGGGACAGGGGAAGCCAAATGGGAATCTTGTATTCAGAGGTGAGTAACGTTAACTCCTTTGAAACGTGTCTTGATCTTCCTTTCTTTAGGAAACAACTGACTTGGCTCATATAACTGATGATGATTATGATAATCGACTGATCGTGTTATGCTAAATTTAATCTCTAACAACTTAATGAGTTTTGTTCTTCATACCTCAATTTTGTGTCAACATAATGTATTTCTACTGACTAAAAAAAATATTATGCTTATTTTAACTTTTGTGACATGACAATGCCAAATAAGTTAACTGTCCTCTTCTCAGACAGTTTAACACACGTTCACAGACAATACAGGACAGTTTCACATTGTACCAGAGAATCATATTTTCTTTTTCATGGCATTGCTGTTGTTATTTTCATGACGGTGATACCTTCTAGATCTTCAGTAAAAGACATTAATATAGCCTACTTATGCGTGAAAAGGAAAAATACTTTACTGTTCAAAGACCTTTTTACAGTGTTGTTGTTGTTGTTGGTGTTGTTGTTGTTTTTTGCTGTAATGTATTTGAAAAGGGTGTGTTTATGTGTTAAGTTATCCGTCATGCTTGGGATGTCACCAGACCTGTTTTGCTTATCACCCTATCTGATATCAAACCATGTTTCAGGCCAAAATCACATGCCTCAATTATACCTTAGTTGTCTTAGTCTTATTAAACGTATTAGATATAGGATAATTAATTGTTTCATGTGCCTATTTTTTTTAATCATATTTTGTGCTACTTTCTTTCCATAGCCTATGTGTCAGGCAGCTTATGACGATGACATCCATAAGTTGCAAAAACTGATCTCAGCCGATCCCAAAAATGTAAACGTTCAAGATGAAGGAACAGGAGACACACCGATCATAGCCGCCTGTAGACGGGGACACCTCAGGACTGTCAAATACCTTCTAGATTACAATGCAAATGTGTCTATTAGAAATAAGGTATTGCATAAGTGAGGAGACTGAAAATAGTCCTGTTTGAATCCTGGTTATCATAATGCTGCTGCAGTTGTATTGTTATGAGCGAGTCTAATGCGCAATGATTCATTTGAATGCATGTTGTTTTTCTGACTCACCCTGTGGTACATTTTATTAATGATTGTTTATTTTGTGCTTGTTTAAACATATCTATGTGTATGTTCTTCCTTTAGAAAGAAAGGACTTGTTTGCACTATGCCACGAGAAGAACATTTTCCTTCCTGGACTACTTGATGATTGCCATATTAATGCCTATCTTGTTAATTGGTTATCTTATAATGGTAGGTTATCCCTCAGTCATGGCATTTCTGGAAGAGACTATTTACTGTCTGAAAAAAAAATTGAAATTTTGAGATCAGGAATTTCCCTGAGATTAGTGTACAGGAATAGAAAGCGATTTGTGGTGTTTTATATGTGTTCTTGTCCATTACTTATGTAATCTGACTTTAATTTATGACTGATCTAAATGTGTTTAATTGGACAAAATTAAAGCATTGCACATTTTATCTCAAAAGGAAGAGAAGCAAAGAAAAAATGTGAAATTGATGGAGCTTCTGTTGGCCACTAAGGTGGAAGTAAATGCTGTAGACTATGTAAGTAGAACACTCATCATGTTTTGGAAATTAATTAAGAGATAATTATCATGCTAAAAAGGATGTTCATGGTTATAATTTGTGCAGCTTTGCTTTTTTTCAGAAGAGGAACACTGGACTTCACTATGCGTGCCAAAGAAAAAGTCAAAGGATCATTCCACTGTTATTGGAGAAAAATGCAGATGTTTCAGTACAGAACAAAGTAAGTTAATTATTTATAGCAAGTATTTGAACATGAACTTCTGTAAAGGGATCTATAATCTTACTGTCTTTATTAAAGTAACTTTAAAATGTTAAACTCTACACGGTAGATAAGGTGAAAATGAACAAAGTAGTGACTGATGACATAGAGGTGTTGCACTGTATTTAGCAGCAAACCATTCTCTTAATGTCAACTGAGAACTTGGTAAGTGAATGTTAAATGTAACAAAGTATTAAAGTGTTTTAGAGAAATTGCATTTGCTGAGACTGACAGGATTTGAAACTGGTGTTGATCTGTGATGTGAAACAAGCATACATTTTGTTTTCTCTTTTCTCTCTGTTAAACACATTGTGTGACTCTTTTAATAGTTTGACATGTTGTTTCTGTCTTCTTTACAGGATCATGAAACCCCACTAGATATTGCAAAGAGACTACAATTCCACAAAATTGTTACAATGTTAACAAAATCAATGTGAGTAATAATAAAGGACATGAGAGAAGAGACGTGTTTCATGTGCAGCAGCAGTGGGGTCCTTTACAATTCACCAGCTGAGTTTAAGATTGGGTTTTCACCAATTGTCACAATTTTTTACACTTTGAACCACACATAATGTTTGAACACACTTAATGTCATAAGAAATGCATTTCTCAGATGAAAGATGTATTTATGCATATTTGATTTAGTTTTTCATTTGATTACTCATATTTGTGTTGTTCTTATATTGTATATTGATAATTTAATGTACTGTATATGTATATTCAGTTTGTTTTAAAGTGTTAAAGTTTGTTTTTTATCACTGTAAGATTTCAAATGGATTTGGATTGTGTCAAATTGTTGGTTTAAAAGTAAAACCTCTCACTAAGCGAAATTACTTTTTGTATACACATTTTCGGCATCAATGTATGTTTATTTCCAGTCATGTTTTACAAAATCAGTCGATTACAGGACGAGGCCATAAGACAGGTCATGAAATGCTACAGTATAGTGAGATTGAGGGTGTAGTGGTTAGTAAAAGCTAAAGTTTAAAAAAAAAACACATTAAACAAGTGCATGTCCTTTAAAAGACATTAAAAAGCAACCCCCGATCATGAGTGTAAAACTCAGTCTGGGTAATGGCTCGAAGGCTTAATTCAGTTTGTAATATCAAATTTACATTCGCAAATTGCGGATTCGGTTACCAGCACCTCAAACAAATGGGTTCATCTGCTTACAGAAAGAACAAACAAAGAGGCACAAAAGTATTAGCTCAAGCTCAAGGAATGCTGATAAAACCTGCTCAAACAAAATGTCTCTTCACACATTCTCCCTCATCATTTCGATCATTTTGTTGTACATCTCTTGTGGGGCATCCAAACCCCAGATGAAGTCCAGGTGCTCCCAGTGCTTAATGTCATGGTGGTACACCAATTTGGGTATCTGTGTTAGCAGTAGAGCCACGTCCTGAGGATCTGCCAGAGTGTCCTGCCCACCCGACCACAAGGCTGTGGGTACCGTCATGTCCCGCATGTTGTACAGGGGAGGGGTCGACTGTTAGGGGAGAAGCAGGAAGAGACTTTAACACTTTGAGCACTGCTCAGTTCCACTACTGACTCTCAGAGTGACCACAAACATGACACATTCATCGTCACGAGAGTCTACAGTATTTCAAAAATGCCCTGGATAGGCAAGTTAGTATAGTTAGTGGTGAAAACAGCTTGAAGGGAAATTGTCATCAATTAGTCATCCTCATGTAATTTCCAAACCTGTATGACTTTGTCTCTTCTGTGGAACACAAAAGAGGATACAGTATTTTGAAGAATGTTGGTAACTAAACTGTTTCGGTTTTGGAAGTTAACAGGAACCTGTTTCATTAGGATTAGGGCTGTTTTGTGTTCAGCAGAAGAAAGAAATTTGTATATATATATATATATATATACATGAGGGTGTGTAAATGATAACAAGAGTTTTCATTTTTGGGTCCATTTACAGGCAGAAATAGTCAAGTCCTCAATGTTACCTGATTATAATGTGCCATATTTCCAGCTTTTCCATAATCATATGCCATAAGCTTACTGGATTTCACAGCCTGTATTAAGAATACAAGAAATGTATTTAAGAACAGGTAAAATTATAAAGTAGAATGTTCATATGTTTGATAGTGCCTTTTGTATCAAAGAGCAGTCTTTTGTATGGCTTTAATTGGACCGTGTTGGTGTCTGTAGGATCAGTGGGAACATGACAGTTGTTTCTTAACATAAATCCAACAGACATCTTGGATTTATGTTATATATATATACACTAGTCAACATTTGAAGTGGATCAAAACCTTTCATCAAAGTTAACCTAAAACCAAAGTGCATTTGAGAACACATGCAAGGCAATGTGGTAAAGCAGGTCCAGAAACATGTCAAAGACATCTGACCTGTGTGCCTTACTAAAAAGCCCCTATTGAAACACCTCAGTGCTTCTCTGCTCTGTCAGTTCACACTGATATTTTACTCTGAGACAGATTAAGGAACTGTTGCAACTTCTGGTTGTGCTTTCACTCATTTTGAGGAAATAATGTGGGGATGTTTTAAAATATATTGCAGGTGGAGAAGGACATTTAGTAAGACACAGACGTGTCACATAGAAACTGAGTTTTTTTTTGTTTTTTGTTACCTGAGCCCAATGAACCATGTTCTGGACTGAGGTTCCTGCTGGGCAGTGTGTTGTGTACACAGGTGTTCTGCTCTGAAAGAGAGAGAGATGAAGGAACACATGAAGGAACATTCTCAAATTCACTGACATTAAAAAGCATGATCTAACAAAGCGAGTGCTATACCATGTTCAGGTTCTTCTCATCAAAACCACAGAGAAGAAAGAAAACATTCCCGCACAGCACACTCAAAGGTTTTCTGCTGCAGAACTCGGTGGCAAAAAACTTAATCAACTCATTCTGAGGAAAGAAGTCCTTTCGTCCGAAGAGATCCTACAAATGTAAAAAATAAATAAATAATAAGAACAAGAATAATAATTATTCTGATAAATGATCATCATGGCTGTATATAACCTTAAAAAACATAAACCCACTTTCATGTCCTTCAATTGTAAGGAAAACACTTTTTTTATTGACTACTGATTTCTGTAATGTTATCAGTACCAGTACCAGGAAACATATGACATTTTTGAATGTGTAAAAACACTATAAATATGAGCTATATGTTCTGTTCCAAAACCTAGTGAACTGCCAACAGAGGCTAGATTTTAAGGCATCACAAGAGCAAAAGAATGTATGTAGTACATACAGTATATACACTACCAGTCAAAAATGTTTGAACAATAAGATTTTTGAATGTTTTTAAATAAGTCTCTTCTGCTCACCAAGCCTGCATTTATTTGATCCAAAATACAGCAAAAGCAGTAATGTGAAATATTTGTACTATTTAAAATAACTGCTTTCTATTTGAATACATTTTAAAATGTAATTTATTTCTGTGATCAAAGCTAAATGTTCAGCATCATTACTCCAGTGCTTAGAGTCAATATAATTTTTATTTTTTATTTTTTTGAAAAGAAATGATAGAAATTATTACTTTATTTAGCAAGGATGCATTAAATTGATCAAAAGTGATGATAAAGACATTTATAATGTTACAAAAGATTTCTATTTCAGATTAATGTTGTTCTTCTGAACTTTCTATTCATCAAAGAAACCTAAAAAAATTATACTCAGCATAATTCTTTTCAGCATGATAATAATAATAATAAATGTTTTTAAAGCAGCAAATCACAATATTAGAATGATTTCTGAAGGATCATGTGACTGGAAATCACAGGAATAAATTACATTTTAAAATATATTCAAATAGAAAGCAATAGTAAAAATATTGATATTACATAATTATATATAACATTATTATATAAAAAATTATATTACAGCTTTTGCTGTATTTTGGATCAAATAAATGCAGGCTTGGTGAGCAGAAGATAATTCTTTAAAACAAAACATTAAAAATCATCAAAAACTTTTGACTGGTAGTGTAATTAAAACAATTAAAAATGTGTAATTTAGAATACACTATTTTATCCAATATTTGCATTTTTAGTTTATTTCTTCATGCTGCTAGCTTAGCAAAATTGTAGTGTCAAACTATAAAAATCAACTGAGAGTATTACTACTTATGCAGAGCATTCCAAATCCTTTCTTTCAAAGGACAGATCCTTAGATGGCAGCTGCCTAGGTAGGCAATAGGGTAGTTTTCTAGTTTGTGGAACAGAGCTATAGAATAGTGTTACAAACAAAATGCTCACCCAAATGAGAAACTCTGGAATAAGAGACAATTTGGTCATGGGGCTTTTGGTCAACCCCACTGTGGCGACAGGAGCCAGAGCAAAGAACATCTTGATTTTGCTGGCCAGCTCCGGCATTGTGGAGAAAGCGATGAACGCTAAGAAGCAAAAATAGGAAGTTATGCATCAACATTTCAAGAAGAAATAAATATATAATATAAAATAATATATAAATATAAAATGTAATATAAATATAAAAATATATAAAGCTTGGAATCACATCATGCATAGCAAAAAGTGTGAAATACTGTAGCTGATGTGAGCTGTGAGATGTTCCCACTATAACACGTATGATAATGCATTTGCCTACTGTCAGTGTGAGAAGATGCATAATGCACAACACATCTCTGAGCATATTTTGTAGACCAGTGATTTGATGAATAGCAGATCAAAATAATTAATCACTCTAAAAGGCTTAGAGAATAGGTGATACCTATAGTGGTTCCCTGGGAATGGCCCACATAAAAGATTTGCTCCTGGCCAGTGGTCTTTGTAATGAAGTTTATCACTGCAGGAAGATCCTTTTTAGCCAGTTCATCATGACTGGCTCACACACACACACACACACACACAAACAACACAGAAAGAAAAACAGAATTTTTTTTTTTTTAGTTCAGTATTCTGGCTGATATATTATTAACCCAACAGAGATTCCAAAAATAAGAACTAGATCTGCATTTCCTGAAGCAAATACCAAAGCTTGCAAGGCAAGAAAAAGACAACTGTCAAAATTTTAAGTATGACTAGGTTTCAAGCTCCGCACACAAGTATCAGCTGAAAAGAGGAAATAAATTCTTGAATAAATACAAGGAAGATTTACAAGAAAGATATTTCCATTTTAAATAAACTGCTCTTTTGAACTTAAAGAACCCTGAAAAAAATGTCTCACAGTTTACACCAAAATATTAAGCAGCACAAACTTAGACATTATTTTAGAGTACCAAATCAGTATATTAGAATGATTTCTGAAGGATCATGTGACACTGAAGACTAGAGTAATGATGCTGAAAATTTAGCTTTGATCATTACATTTATAAATATATTTAAAAAGAAAACAGTTATTTGAAATTGTAATTGTATTTTAACAATATTACTGTTGTAGCCTACTGTATTTTTGATCAAATAAATTGCTTTGGTGAGCATAACAGACTTGTGGATTGTGTATATACAAAAATGATTTTCAAACTTTTATCTTAAATTTCTTAGAAAGGTTGGTGTTTGATGAGAAAGTGTAAACCACATGCTAAACGCTTTCATAAAAATGTTGTTCTTGTACCTGAACTGCCAGTATTCTTTCTGTTTAGGGTCAAGGCTGGCGTGTTTTCTGGACCAGGTGTTCCCACGGCTGTTGCCTATCCACACATCAAATCCAGCATCGGCTAACAGGAAACCCAGGCTGGTGTTGGGCAGGTTTGTCACCCAATTACTTCCAGCAGCAAGAAGACCATGTTGGAGGAACACTACAGGCTTGGCTTCTGAAATACGAATTAAGAGACCAAAAAATGTCACAAAACCTTTCAATGGAAATTGTAAATTGAATCAAATATACTCATATATATTTTTAGAGATTACATGTTTGGCCAGCAGAGGGAGTATGTGCATTAGCTTTATGCTGATAATGCCATCCTTTCTTTTTTGGGACCTTTATCAGTGAAAATCTGTCAGAAACAGGACGTGAGCTGGTCCTCTTAGTAGCACAAACAGACCTTGAGCTGATAGCATTGTTTGACTTCATACCAGCCATTCCTTCTACCCCCCTTAAACCCTGCAACTCGCACAGCAAGACTTTGGAAGCTGGAGACTTTCAATTTTACATAACTGCAGAATAATCCCAGGAGAGCAGTTGCACAATGAGTCATACTGGTTTTATGGGAAATGGAGTTCAAAGGAAATCACTGCTTCAGACTCATATATTAATCTGTTGGTGTTGGTTGCATATGATTTTGAGAAATTTAATACAATTCTCAGGAAAAGTTCAATTTAAATGACTCAAGTAATCAAGTAAAAAATAATATATTTTTTCTTACACCTCGAATGCATGTGCGTGTACACATCTTAGATATATTTTCCTTTGAAATATATTTTTAAATGTAAAAACTAGTTTTTACAAATATCATCAATTATTAATGTTAATCCTGCCTTCTCATAAAACTCAAGTTATCTGATATTTTAAGAGACTAACACGCTGTCATGGGGGTCTATAGGTGTGTGTCTCTTTTTGTTTTCTTTATTTTTTCCTTTTTTACTGTTTCTAAATGTTTGTTGCACCACATGATTTGATTTGGCAGACAAGGTTTTTCTAATATTAAAGGGGTCATATGATGCTTTTTTAAAGATCATTATTTTGTGTATTTGGTGTAACAGAATATGTTGACATGCTTTAATGTTCAAAAAACACATTATTTTTCAAATACTGTACATTATTGTAGGTCCTCTATGCCCCGCCTCTGTCAAACGCTTCGTTTTCTACAAAGTCCCTCCTTCCGACAAGCGCAGTCTGCTCTGATTGGCCAGCTGACCCAGTGCATTGTGATTGGCCGAACACCGCAAGCACTCGTCGGAAATGTAATGCCCCTTACCATAATCGCGAGCTTCATCTTTCAAAATAAATGTAAAGACAGTAAATAATGTCATTAGTTTTACCATCAGTTCAAGCCCGAAAGGGCAACAGAGTCGCGTGACAGACAGATGATGCAGTACACAAGCCGCGGTTAAGACAGCTGACTCCACTGTGATGTGACCCCCCCCCTCTATCTCTCACTCTCTCTCTCTCTCTCTTGCGCGCTCTCTCTCTCTCTCGCGGTCTCTCTCTCTCTCTCTCTCTCTCTCTCTCTCGCTCTCTCTCTCGCGCGCTCTCTCTCTCTCTAGCTCTCGCTTGCTCGCGCACACACACACGATGCACAAAACTCCGCATTTGAACAGTCAATAGCAAATACTTAAACTAATAACAAAACAGTAGCTGATTCAGAAGCGCCAGATTGTCATAGCAAAGTCAGAATTACCTCCTCTCCTAGGTTCACGAAACGGTTGTCCATAAAATGCATTGCTGTTCTGTTGTAAGTAATCTTAAAGATTTCTAAATGCATCTACTTTCGGAAGGCCAAATAAAGTGCTTTTGCTTTCGCCTAGAAACACACAGCGTCTCCCTGACATGGCTGCTTCAACACTAACTGCGGTTAATGAAACCACGCCTTCTTTCTTTGCGTGCACATTTGGGCGGCATTATGCTAATATTTCCACATAGTGAGGTAGATATGTGGGGGCGTGTTAGAACGAGCCGTTTTAGGGGGGCATGGCAGAGTCTTAACTTTGATAAAGAATATCTCTTTGGTTTTGAGACTTTAGTCTTTGCAACTTCAGGGATCTTATCTATGCACAATCAGCTTGTAACACTCCAAAGAGAAAGGAAAACTTGAAATCGCATCATATGACCCCTTTAATTATGAGGGAAGCAATTTTGTTAAAAATCACAATTTTATCTAATACTAAACTCAACACAAATAAAATAATAAATAAACTGAATTATTTTCATTTTTAAAAGATCACCCTGGCATTTTTGATTTTAACTCCAAAATTGTTACAGAAGAGTTTGTTCTTTGTTACAAAGTCATTGTGTGTTCGGATTGCATTTTTAAAGTATTTTTGAATGAATTACTAGATCTGGAGAAAAGAACGAGTGTGTATTCTCTCAGGTGAGACTGTCTTTGTGAAACCTCACTTGGTGCTCACTTGGTATTGTCATTCCTTGGTGTTCTTTCGTGCCAAGCAGCACAGTGTCTCGTGTGACTTGGAGAACTGGGACAGCAGGAAATGAGTTGCATATCCCGTGTGACACTCAGAGCTTCAGTGCTTATCACACACAACGTCACACCACTCAGCACCAGCCATCCACTAAAAACAAACAGCTTGATGGCTCTTTACTTATTTATCATATAACCATAAAACAAAAACGGCTCACACGGTTTGTCTTGTTAACGTGCTCTTCAAAATTCCCAGTCTTCCTGATTAAGTATGGTTATAAATGTACTGAACAGATTTCCACATGTTCATTTGCATATGCCAATTTTATTCTGAAGGTCAAACACAAGAACGCAGCCAACAACTGCTCTTAATCTAATACAATGAGTGAAAATCAAAGATGCACAAGGCTAAAGTTTCTCAAAGGCCCTCAAATCCTCCAGCAGAGGGATTTGTGTCTGTGAAATGCATTCTCATTTAGAAAAACATGAGATATTGTGTTAGCACAGCGAGGGAGAGTGGAAGCTGATATATGGCTGTTGAATTGGTTTTCCGCTCCAGTGGCGTCCCTGGCGATATTAGTGTGAGAAGCATGAGCTTTAGAGATCTCTCTGCTCATTAATGAAATATGGGGAGCGCTAAATATCAAACTGAATACTGATTCCAGAAGCACTATTGTACAGGACCGAGAACATTAACACCACAATAACACTCATCAGAACTGAACCGATTTTAGCCTGATTTATTAATCACAGAGATTTCCTTTGTTTTTCAGCTGATGATGTTATAGCTGGTATTGATGTATTGTACAGACACCCACTATAATACTTGCTGATACACACAAAAAATTGATAAAAGGCAGATATTTAGTTTTATACTATTTTTTCTAAGTTAATTAAAAATAAAATACTTAACTAATCAAATGTATTACATTCCACACATAAATTAAGCATCAGAACATTTTAAAGTAAAATATGAAAAATGGATATTCATTTTAAATTTTCATTTTTGCTGAAGATAACATTTACTTGTGATATTTCATTAAGTGTTTTTAAATATTAAACAAAGTAAGCATTAAACTATATA